GGGGGGCGGGGGCAGGACAGGGGGCCACCTGGCTTGCTGAGCCGCATCCGACTCCTGCACCATGCTGAAGGCGGTCTTGGCCATGGCCGTGGCTTTCTGGGCGTACTCCTGCACCTTCCTCACCAGCGTCTCTGGCTCCCCGGGCGTGTCGGCCCCTGCAAGCACGAGCTTCGTGGGAGCGGGGGGACGGGAGCCATGGGTCCATGCCCCCCACCTCGTGCATGCACCCCAGCACCCTGAGCCCCATCCCCTTCCTCCTGCCGCAGCCCTCGCCCGCCCCTTACTTGCTCTCGCCACCAGGACAGCCGTGCAGACGAGCGCGAGCAGGAGCGATGCCTTCATGGCTGGGGAGAGAGCAGAGTGTATGGCGCGGGGTGGCAGGCAGGGGCCCACGCGCCCACAGGGGTCCCAACCCCTTCCCCTTCCCGGCGCGACTCTCGCTGGGGGCTTCCCCACTCACCTACACCGGGCTCTGCTACGTGGGGGAAGCCCCGAGCTCCCACTTTATACCCTCCCCACAGCCGCCTCCGGGGGAGTTTGTGCAAAGGTCAGGGGCGGTGGGGCTGGCCGGGGAGGGGGCACGTTTGCCGAGACCGTTCCTGCTGCAGAGGGGCCTGCCTTCCAGCCAGGAGTTGGGAAATCTCCTGGGGACCAAGGCTGCCGGGGGGCTGGCCTGGGGCTCAGCACGCGTGTGCGTGGGTCTGCACGCGTGCACAGGCCCACGCATGCATGTGCGTGCGCTTGCACGGGCACATGGCTGTGCACACCGGTGTGCCTGTGGCCAGCCCAGTACCCACTGCAAGGCGCAGCACCGTGAGGACAGGCCCGGGGCTGGCATGGGCACACACAGCACAAGGCTGACATCCAGCGGCACCGGCACCGGGTGAGATGCCACCGGGCTGGCTCTGCTCAGGGGTACCGTGTGGCTACCTCGGCCGGGGTGCCTCGGCCGGGCCCTCCGGCTGTGTGGCACCACGAGGGCTCTTTGGACCTTGGCATCGCCGGCGCCCGGCTGATCCCTGCCCCTGCCAGCCATGCCCTTCGCCCCAGCCGTGACACGTCACCGCCAGTCTGCAGCCTGCAGCGGATCCACCGGGCCATGGGTGGGCTGAGCCAAGGGCTGCATCCCCGGGGCATGTGCTGAGAGCCCAGTGCCCACGGCTGGGGACACGCACGGGTCCCAGCTCCAGTCAAGGGCATGCCGGCGCTGCGTGTGTGCAACATCCTGCAGCTGCAGGGTCCTGGCCTTTCCCTGTGGCAGGGCTTCCTCTGGGAGCCCACGCTCGGAGGGAGCAATGCTACCCTGCAGTCTCATATGCATCCATCGCAGCATCCACCCCCCGAGCCCATGTCCTGCCCCACTGTGCAACCTGGGCACAGTGCAGCCGGCAGCAGGGCTGAGGGGTCCCCGCAGTGTCCCCCAGAACCCCTGCCCCACCACACTGCGCATCCCGGGTACTGCGCAGCCGGCACCAGTGGAGCCATTGCTGCGTCCCATAGAGCTGCGGAGCCAGGGGCTGCCCCCCGCTGTGCGCTGTCCCCTCTGCCGCAGGGTCCCTGCCCCCCCAGGAGGAGCTACAGCCTTGGGGTGCCCATGCATACCCCCACTCCCTCTCTGCCCCGGCCCCTGGCACCCCGCCGGGAGCTGGCAGGGCTGCAGGTGATGTCAGGGCTGCACTCACGTCAGGCGCTTCCACGTTGCGACCTTGCTAAAGTCCAAGCCCGGGGCCTGTGTCACAGGCCTGCGTGGAAGCCGCTGAGAGCGCTCAGGCTGCATAAATAGCGGCCGGGTGCTCACCGGCACAGCAGGTACCCACACCTGGCAGCAGCACAGGTGAGCGGCAGCGTCAAGGTGTGGGGAAAGCTGGCAGCTGCATCGCCTGCAGTGGTGGTGGGGGGTGGCCGGGGGCTGGGGGGCTCCCTTCATCTCCACTCTGTGCTCCCGCAGGCATCCCCCAGCAGTCAGGATGTCTCCGAAGGTGGCCGCCCTCGTCCTGGTGCTCCTCGTGGTCTCAGGTGAGGGGGTGTGCGGGTCCCCGGTGCTGGGAGGGTGGTCCCGGCCCAGGGTGGGGATGGGGACCCGATGCACCCGGGGGAGCTGCCGAGAGGAATTGTGCCGGTGCTGACCCCGGCATCCGCTTTGCAGGGGCACAGGCTGACGTCAAGCCAGATGAGGTGGCCAGCGTGCTCTGGAAGTACTTCACCGAGCTGGGCAGCAATGCCAAGGAGACGGTGGACCAGCTGCAGCAAGCCGAGATCACCAAGCAGCTGAAGTGAGCAGAGCCATGGGCTGCGGCGCTGGGTGGGGGACACGGTGGTGGCTGGGACATGCTGGGCAGGGGAGGGGGCTGCGGGGACGCCGGGGTGCTGACATCCCTCCCCATCTCCCCAGCACCCTGCTGGAGAGCAACTTGCAGAGCGTCAACTCGTACGCCGAAGACCTGCGGCAGCGGCTGGTGCCCTTCGCCACGGAGCTGCAGGCGCGGCTGGCACAGGACTCGCAGCGGCTGAAGGAGCAGATCCGGCGGGAGCTGGCAGAGCTGCAGGCCAAGCTGGCGCCCTATGCCGACGAGGTGCACCAGCAGATCGGCACCAACATCCGCCAGCTGCAAGCCAAGATGAGCCCCTATGCCGAGGAGCTGCGCTCCCAGGTGGACCGCGGGGCCGGGGAGCTGCGGCGGGCGCTGGAGCCCTACGCCACTGAGCTGCGAGACCGGCTGCAGGACAACGCCGAGAACATCCAGGCCTCCCTCAGCCCCTATGCTGACCGGCTGCAGCAGCAGATCGACGGCGGGGTGGAGAGCCTGAAGGAGCGGCTGGCTCCCCTGGCCGATAAGCTGAAGGCACAAGTGGGGCAGAGTGTGGAGGAGCTGCGGCAGGGGCTCAGCCCTTACACCCAGGAGGTGCAGGACAGCCTCAACCAGCAGCTGGAGAGCCTGACAGCACAGATGGAGCGGGCGGTGGAGGAGCTGCGTGCCCGCCTGGCCGCCAGCTCAGAGGAGCTGCGTGCCCAGCTCAGCCCACTGGCCCAGGAGCTGCGGCAGGCGGCGGGCGGTGATGCCGAGAGCCTGCAGCAGCGGCTGGCTCCCTTGGCCCAGCAGCTGGATGAGCGTGTGGGGCAGACGCTGGAGGCTTTCCGGCAGCAGGCAGCCCCCTTCGGCGAGACCTTCGGGCGGCAGCTGGTGGAGCGGCTGGAGGCAATGCGGGGGAAGCTGGACTCAGGCGCCGCTGGTGTGGAGGACCACCTGGAGCTGCTGGAGAAGGAGTTGCGGGAGAAGGTGGCCACCTTCCTCAGCACTGCCCAGCCAGCTGAGAACTGAGAACCCCCCACCGGTGCCACAGGGAGGGGGCACAGGGCAGCCATCCGGCTGTCCCCCCGCACCGCAAGCGTTCACAGCTGCTGCCTGCAGCGGAAATAAACTGCCGCCTTGCCATGCATGTGCTGGTCTGTGTCCTTCATTCTCTGCAGCATCCCACCGTCCTGCCCCGGGATGGGCAACCTGGGGCGCCCGGCCCAGCTGCTCCGAGGGGAGAGCATCACCGCCGGATTTGGGTCCCAGGGCACCCAGGAGAGGGAACAGAGGTGGGGCCAGGCGGGTGGGGGGTCTCTGTCCCCGGCACAGGGCTGCAGGCACTGCTCGGGGGCTGGAGGCCGTTGAAGCCAGGCGAGCCCGTCAGCCAGAGTGGGCTGGGGCCCCAGGACTTCACCGCGCCGGGGTGCCGTAGCAACTCAGTGGCACCCAGGCAGCTCCAGAGGGGCCAGAGCCCCAGCATACGGCCGAGCATCCCCACTGCAGTGGAACTGGCTGCTGCCACGGGGGATGGGTCTCTGCGGACTGCGCAGGGTGGGTGATGGACACCTTGCTCCACCATCCCACAGCCCCACGGAGGCTGCGGCCAGACACAGTGGGGGTCGGACAGGTAGGGAGCGGGCCCTTGTCCCCAGGAGCTTCCCAGCTCAGGGAGAAGAAAAGGGGACTGGAGCTATGGCCACAGCAAGGGCCCTGAGCTGCTCCACTGGGGGGGTGCCCTGTGAGGACCTCTCCCACGGCCAGAGGGATTTCCCACGTGGGCTGCAGTGGCCGCGGGATGGGAGTGCAGCTGGGGCTGCTCAGGGCGACCCCACGTGTCCGCACGGGCGAGGGACCGGAGTGGACTTTGGTACCAGAGGAGCGTTGGCTCGGAGTTTCACCCCAGCGGTGCGCCGGACTTTGCCCTCCACGTCCGGGTGCCCACATCCCAGCCCCACTGGGGACACATTAGTCCCAGTGGGTCCCTGTTTGCTGGATTGCTTCAGTGCAAACATTGCAGCGCTCTCCTGATTTAAAAGCCTGGTGTCAGCAGCCGGCACCCCTCACGGGGACGAGACCCAAGCCGAAAATGTTTTTTTTCTTTCCTGGGGGAAAGGCAATTTGTAAAGGAACCACTCCAAAACGTGGCGGGTTTGGTATGCCAGCGGGAAGTGGGGCTGTGCAGCTGGCAGTTTGCAAGCAGGCAGACCATGCAGAAGGTGTGTTCTCTTGCCCTGGCTGCAGACACGGCCACTGCGCTCACTTCACCCTTCCCTGGCACAGCCAGAGCCGGGCTCATCCTCCCGCGCCCATGCTGGCCCCATCCCGGGGGTCCTGGCTCCCTTTCCCCCCCGTTTGGGCTGCAAGCCCCTGCGACAGGAACTGCCAGCTGGCGAGCTGCAGCCCACATCCCTGTCCCTGTCCTGCTGCTCTGCACCACCTCGCCACCCCGGCAGCTCCCAGCCACCGTTTGCTCCACGATGCAAAGGTTGGCTGCGACGGCAGGGTCAGCCTCGACCCCAGAAACCTGCAGAGCAAGCAGCGAGGGCTCCCTTATCACTGGGAAAACAAGGGCTGAGCCAGCGGGCCGGTGCCAGGCCAGCGTTCGAGCAGCTACAGGCTTGAGATCTCTGCCTGGGAGATGCTCGGGGCAGGGCAGGGCCACACAGTCTCACAGCCCCGAGGGGGTTAAGGCTGCCTGCGGCCGCAGCGAGATCAGGCCAGCCTGGGTGGTGGGATGGGAGCAGTGTGGGGCAGGCGAAGGGGCAGCCAGCAGTCAGATGACCGGCCCCCCACGTCACCTCTCAGGAACGTCCGCAGACCTCCACGTTGTGTTTACAGGGAGTGAGGTCCAAAAAGCCTACCCCTGCAGATGCGCCTTATCGCCCACGCACCTCTGCCTCCCGCCAGGCGTATATAAAGGGAGCCACGGGCCCAGTCCCAGCAGGAGGGACGCGGGAAGTGATCCGGAGCCAGGTGAGGGGTGGGGAGCAGCCTCGCCGAGCCAGCACCAGCAGGGACATCTCGTGCCTGGTTTAGCTTTGCCCAGCC